ATGTGTTACATATTTGTTTTCCGTTAATGTTTTGTACATATATTAGGCCGTTAGTTTTCTCGTTTGAATTGTTTTACATTGTCATTTCGGGGCCTTTTATAGCTGCCTATGCGGTATGGGCTTTGCTCACTGTTGAAGGCCGTACGATGACCTATAGTTGTTAATTTCTGTGTCATATTGGTCTCTTGTGGAGAGTTGTCTCATTGGCAATCATACCACATCGCCTTTTTTATATTATCTATTGTCATCACAATTCATAATATCAAATAAAATTAGTAGATAAATTTTGGTAACTGAGTACTTAAAATTGAATAAAGTAACATCACTTTTAGTCGAAAATTGTTTAACGTTAATTAGGCTCAAGTTAAAAATTATTTGCTATCCCCCGCTTTGTGATTAATGTAAGATAACTCTGGTTAATTTTTCAAACGTTTCATCATTATGGGGAGATCATTTTCATGTAAAGGCTTTTTCATACAAGTTCAGAGGATTTATATAGGTTCTAATCAATATTTCGCACTGAAGTATTTGACAAGTATTTTTTTATGAAAGTCTGTCTTGGACGGTGTCGAAATTTTTTGTAAGTAACTGAATATCATTTAAAAAATGATAAAAAATTCTTTATATTTGTATATATAATTTTGATCGTTACAAACCAATAAAATTATATTTATATATCAATGTCTTTAATAAACAATAACAATTTTATAGATTTTGTTATTAATTAGAATAAAATAAAATTAAATTAGAAAACTGTTCAAGGGAGACTACACTCGCATAGCTTCAAATGACTTTTTCGAATTGGAACACAGTACAAACGAATATGACTCTTGCATACAAATGACACATCAATTAGATTAATTAACTGCGCATTCCTGTTTCAACTTCAATGAAGTTTATAAATTATCAATATGACCAAAAACTTGAAATCTATAGGATGGTCACGACTAATGGATGCTAACCCATAGTAAAAATATTTGTTTGAAATTTTTTAAAACTAACTCAGAAAAATGCTCGAAAATCTTGGTTTTCATAGCTCACTATCAATGTGTTTACACAATAAAATATTGCAGTAGTCAACGATTATTTGCTTCTCATAGTATGATACGCAATACAGATCACATGCCTGCATCAACTTACCCAAAACAGATTTAGATACAACCTGAACATTTTCACATTATTTACTGTTTTCATCGGAATTGATTTTGTAATATTATCGATTATCACATTTTCCTGTTAAGATCATAATTTATACCTTTATCCCGACATCGTCAGGAAATTAGCTACATATTAGCATTCACAAAGCGCTGTGGTGTCCAGTAAATTACAATGTTTGTCAAGTACAGTCCGCCAAAGGTTAAGCACCACCTAAATATACCTGGCAATATTTGTTTTACTATTGCGAAAAAATTATTAATACTAGGTGTTATAAATTGCCTTTAACATAAACTAAGAAAATTCATTACGACCACAAAGATCGAACTCCGATAAACCGGTCAAGAATTTTTTTATAAAACGTCATCTGCACGACCATCGACGCTGGAACATGAGAAGCTGGAAAAAATTTCATTGGTCAGATGAGAGTCGGTGTTTGTTACGACCAGTAGACGGCAGAATACTAGTTTGGCGGGATAATAAAACTGCCTATGACCAAAACAACATTTGCCCAACGACTGCATTCGGTGTTGGTGATGTTACCGTACGGGGTTTGCTTCTCATACCGTTGTAAATTGGATATGAATATTCTGCAGGCACAAGTAACCCGAAATTGACTTGAACAGCAAAAAAGGTATTAACGACATTTAAAAAAGATTGATTATCATTAGATAACGATTGACAAAAATTAAAAATTGTTTTAATGCATTTCAATCCATATCAAAACATTTTAATACCAGTCAAAAAGATTCCCTTGCGGTCATTTAAGTTAGTTTCAGATGTGGTTAAGCTGTGTCAAACTAATTAGCCACGCCCCCGTTAAACGAAATCAAACTGATGTTAAATCCTTTTTTCTTTAAAGTGTCCGCTTTTTTGTAAGGTAAATCACCCAAGCGGAACAGCATCCCCGTTTTTAAAAGTATCGTTAATCCGTTCCTAACGTTATCGATTTTAATCAGATAAGTACCTCCAACAAATATTCACAATTAAAAGAAATTAATTTCAAATACATTTGTAAACTATTAAGTAATTTATAGTTAATGATGCAATTTTTTTTAAATGCAGCGAAAAATATCAGTTAAAAATACAAATTAAAAAAAAATAATTTGTACACATGCAGTAACTCTATAGATAAGAAAGATGGTTGATAAGTGATATGAAAACTAGCGTCATCTAAGTAATTTTGCAAAACATAAAACGAGAATGCTGGTTTAATATAATTTTTATTTAATAATCAATAAAGGGACCAATGCACAAGGAACAGAAAGTATTCATAATTGTTTACATCATTCCAATCGATATATCTTATCTTTTAGGTTGAAAATATTTTTTTCAATTACCGCCTTATAAAACAGTATTTATCTAAAACACAAATGTTTTTATTAAATGGATGATTGGTATTTGCTTAACGCCGCCTTAGCGCAAAAAGACTATATCGCGGCGATTTATTAAACGGAAAAAATTACGATTGTGAAAATATTAAAACTTTAGAGTTTATTCCGCCATCAGTTTACATTTGTTGAAAGTTGATCTGTTACATATGCAAATAAGAGGATGTGTTACTTGTATGATTGCCAATGAGACAACTGTCCACCATAGAAGTTACTGAACAACTATAGGTCACCGTTAGGTCTTCAACAATAAGTAAAAACCATACCGTTAAAGTTGTTATATTTGTCAACAGTACTGGGCAAAAAGTTGGTTCACATGGGAAAAGGTTGAAAATATTAATATAGAAATTTTAAAAGTGATGCTTGATTCTAAGAATTTGGTTTAGGGAATGTTTTTCCAAACAGGTCTGCATACCTCTTGTCTGTTAAATGTTCAACCCACCATCTGTGTGGACCCATACACCGAACTAAATTGACTTAAGAACCAAATTTTTGGTTTGATTTTTTAGGCGAACTAAACATGCTAGATAAATGAAACTGCAGTTGTACGGAAACATCAATCTATATAAAGGAATCGTCAGATCAAAAGACCGAATCGCCCGTGTAATTTCGTCGTGAACATGTATAAAAACATTTGCCACTGCACGTTAAACAAATTTAAATGAACCAAATTCGTCTCGATTTTTCAAAAATTCACATGAAAACATACGTTTTTTGTTTGATTAATTTACCCGGAAAATTGAAATTTCGTATAGCTTAAATACGCCACGTATACTAGTATATCTGATACCAAATATAAACTGTTATTTTTTTTTGTCTCGAGTCCGACAGTGATATACTAGTCATTACTAAATGCATACGTGTAAAACTATACAATTTTACTACCACTTATTTTATGGGTGACATTTCTGGTGTAAAGAATGATATTTATCAAAATTTGAGTAGTTACAGCTAAAGATTTGTTGTAATAAACATATCTTTAGTTATGTTCCTAGAGTCAAATTTTAAAAATGTAAGTATATACTCGTTGTTATTGATTTTGCTCATTTTAAAAATATTTCACAAAAATGTACGCACTTGTCGATAGTTGGTTTCTACAGATAGATAGAAAGTTACAAATTCAATATATACATATATATATTGAAAATATGAGAGAAACCTCAAGAACGAATCCTTTTAAATTCATATCTATGTTTAACTTTCTTTGCTTCATCGAGTAAATTCACAGATTTATATTTCAATTAGGTTGTTCGTGAACAGTTTGAGAAATTCATCATCAAAATGTTTAGTAGTATTGTATAATAGTGTTAATCCTTGAAATAGCACGTGAAATTCTAACTAAGTGTGTCAATATCTTGTAAAAAGTAGGGTTCTTTTCATACATTGGCAATTTCCTCTTCCGACATGCATGTAATATATGTCACTGGACGTTAAAATTTCACGAGGATATTATTCGTATTAAAGTCAAACAATATTGTTTGTACTCGATTATGATTTCAAGCAACCGTTACAAGTAATCGTCTCACGAACGGTTTGTAACTTACATTTATTTCCCCTGAAATTGCAAATGCAAAAAGAAGCTAAAGTATATGACTCTTTTAAATATATATTCTATCTGATTTTTGCCTGTTATATCATAATAGCAGTATAAAATAACCACAAAAGTAGATCCATATAGGGAAGGCTCGCGCACCCTAAATCCGCCTCTAGACATGTCAGCCTACCTGGACTTTTCTGAAAGTTTCTGTTTTGATCCAGTCAGGGTTTGTACCCACGGCCTCCATTACTATCTTTACTATCACACGCTCGTCACGCTTAGTCGAGAAGTCATGACACGTGTACACAGATGAAAGACTTGCCGACAATATCGGCGCGTAACTACCAAACAAAAAAAAAAAAAAAAAAAAAAATCCAAAACTTGTTTTCCAGTTCACAAAAAAAAAAAAAAAAAAAAAATTGCCACTGGAACCGATTCTGACAAACCTTTTTGTTTCAATTCTACCACAGAAAAAAAGTTTTTTTTTTCTTCACGATTTTGTTTTTTTTTTTCAAATTTAATAAAAAAAAAACGAATATGCACGAATGATTATCTATACTTTCATACGCACCAACGTTAACTGCATGTTCAAAATTTTCTCGGCGCCTATCCTTAACTTTTTAGTGACTTTAAGAAAAGGTATTTCAATGTTTTAACAACAACTTATTTTAATCAATAGATGAACATCTGCACAAAATGCACGATTACTGTTAGAAATATCATCTATATTTTTGTTGTCATAATGACTGACAGACACAAACGGACAGACAAATGTCTCTTAGCCGAGTGTACTGAGTTTTTTTTTTAAACGTACGTAACGGTCTATATGGATATATATAAGTAATTTTCCATAGACACATTCGGAAACCGGAGACAACATCGTCTCGTTCTTTTTTTTTTTTTTTTTTTTTTAAACAAAACTTTATTGCACAACTGCTGTTTTACATTTTATCCAGATTACAGCGTTAGTCTGGATACCCCTGTGATTAGTTACTGAACTTCCAGGGAATAAAAGTTCAGCAAATAAATATAAATGTTAATTTTACAATTTCCTACATTATTTCATTCCTAAACATAATATATTTCTAAGTTGGTGTCACATGTTTACGGATCAAAATCATTCTACTCACCGGGTTTGACTTGTTTTTCTAGAATCGATTTTTTATCATTGACCTTTTGACCCAATCAAATTTTGAACAGGTGTATGAAACCGTTAGGAAAGAACATGGTTTCTGTTAACTTTCTATTCATTCGAACATTTTGGATTTACTTTAATTAAGTTTGTTCACTTTCGCCCTGGTAAGTATGCTAGATTATTTCTAATCGAAATTATTTTCAGTAAACATATGATTTATATTTGTACACAATATTAAGTTATACCATGATACAGTAAATGCAGATCGTAAAAACCTGTAACAGATACACACAGTATTTTATTCTTTTCTTCGTTTTCAAGCGTATACAAATAAACATTATCTTTGGTAGAAATATGTATGATTTGTTAAAACTTATTAATTTTAAATATAAAAAAAAATTTCCGTGAGATACATGTACTGTACATGTAGATCTATGTCTTTACGATTGATTGATTGTTGATTGCTTTACGCCGCAATTAATCTCTATGAGAAATTGACCAACTTTACATTTGAATGCTAGTATTTTGTTTTAAGATTTTATGTTTGATGGAGGGAAATCGAAAACTTTACAGATTTAATTGTAGATTTTTTAAAAGGTGATTTATGGTTTTCTTTCTTTTTTCCATTAAGAAGTACCTGTACTTGTATTCATTTTTAAATAGCTCATAAACATCTATTGGTTTTGTTTTATTCTCAGATATACAATTACTTTTATGTAAAGTGAATAGAATTACTGTTAATATATAATTTATATCATTATATGCACTGTCTTCTATTTTATAACCAATAACCAAATGTTTTAAGCTTTTTATCTGTTTATCAATATGAAACTTTTGTAACAGATTATTTATTTTATTCCAGAACTCCTTGAAATAACTGCACTCTATGTAATTATGAAGGTAAGTGTCTGTTACTTGACAAGTAAAACATAGATTTGTTTGCTTTATTTTCCATGAATACAAATGGGTACCTACTGGAAGGATATAATGCAATAACTTCCATCTAACCATTTTAAGTTTATTATCTTCTAAGTAGTTGAAAAGAAATTCTAATGTGTGTTTTATATTGTAAGTTTTATTTAAATTGAACTCTTTTATCCATTTAGAAAAACTAATTGGAAATTCCTTATCAGAATGTAATAAACTTTATTAAATGTTAATGTTTTTTATATTGAGTAATTCATCTGTTTTTGTCCCTTGTTTAAAGAAAACTTTACTCCTACACTGGACCATAGTTTTAATTGAATCTTGTTTCTGTAATATTTTTTTTCCACTGGTTTGGTATGCTATGTTTTATCTGCATTAATTCAGCAATCCAATTTTTTTTACATTTTAATTTACTTAAAATTTTTTCTTGAGAAATATTCCCCTTATCATCAATAATGTCATTTATGTAAATTATTTTGTCTTCTATCCAGTGTCTGAAAATCAAACTGTGTCTGTTAGACTTTATATATTTATTCCCCCATATTATTTGCTGTCTGATTATTCTAAAATTATCAGGTTGTTCAGTTTGCCCGCCCCTGCTTTTAACCCATGTTTTGAGTAGTTCTAAATAGAATTTGGGTATATGTTTTGCGATATTATGGATTGATTTAATACTATCTAAATTCATTTGAAAAATTAATAGGTTTGATCCATATTGATTTAAATAATATGATGGAATTATTTTCCAGTTTGCACTTTCGTCATCTATTAATCGCTTTATCCATTTAATTCTTATTGATTCTATGTATTTATTAATATCTATCATTCCTAGTCCTCCTTCATTTTTGACTAAATTTAACGTATTTCTCTTTACTTTTTCTGTCTTTCCATCCCAGATGAAATCATATACCAATTTCTTAAATTCGGACAATGATTCAGTGTCTATATTTGAAACGGATGCAATATAGGTTATGTTTGGGATAATTAGTGATTTGACCACAGTGATTTTGCCTATCATAGTTAGATTTCTTTTTTTCCATAGATTAAGAGTCTTTTTTGATTTTTGCAATTGTTTTTCAAAGTTAAGTTTCATGCATTGTGGTTTGGCATGTCCAAAATAAACACCTACACATTTAATAATATCTTTACTCCAATTTATATTTTCAAAATTTTCTAGAATATTTTTTTTTGTTTCCTAAACATAAACCTTCAGTTTTGTTACGATTTAGTATAAGCCCTGAAAAAGATCCGAAAACCTCAATTACATTGAGAGCATGAGTAATTTCGTCTTTAGCATTTACAAATAGTGTTGTGTCATCTGCTAATTGACTTATTTTTAGACTATGTGTTTTCCCATCTAATTTTATTTTGATCCCCTTCAGTTTATTATCTTCTCTTATTTTACATGCTAGTATTTCAACAGCTAAAACAAACAAAATAGCACTTAACGGACATCCTTGACGAATTCCCCTATAAATTTCCAATGGGCCTGAAATCCATCCATTGTTTGCTATACAGGCTCTTATATCTTTATACAATGTTTTCACCCAATTTTACATTGAGTTTTTTATACCAAATTTTTGTAAAGATTGGTACATAAATTCCCATTTGAGTGAGTCGAATGCTTTTGAAAAATCAAGAAACAGTATGGCCCCTTCTATTTTAAACCTTTCGGCATGATCAATAATGTCTTGTATTTGTCGTATGTTGAAACCTATATAACGGTTTTTTTATGTATCCATTTTGATCACTATGTACAATTTTTGGCAATAATGGTTTCAGTCTTAAGGCTAATGTATATGCAATGATTTTGACATCAACATTCAGTAATGTGATTGGTCTGTAGTTACTTAGATTTGTAGGGTCCCCCTTTTTAAATAATAAAGAAATAAGGCCTATTTTTTGAGATTCTGACAACATTCCTACTTTATAACAGTAATTAAAACTATCTGTTGCAAAACTCTTTAATTTATCCCAAAATTCTCTATAAAATTCAACAGACAGACCGTCTAAACCTGGGGATTTATTTAGTTTCATTTGAAAAATAGATTTAGTACATTCATCGACTGTAAGAGACCCATTTAAAGACTCGCTTTCTTCTTCGCTCAATGAAGCATTAATTTTTGTGTCGGTTATATAATCATTAATTAATTGTTTGTCTGGTTCAGTACTTGTGTAAAGTTTTTCATAATATTCCTTTTCTAAATTAAGTATATCCGATTGATTCGTTATTATTTCCCCTTGTTCATTGTTTAGTTTAATAATATTTTTTCTTGCTTGCCTACATTTTTCTAAACCAAGAAAAAAAATAGTGTTCTTTTCTCCTTCTTCTATCCACTTTATTCTTGATCGTATTTGTGCACCTTTTGCCTTAAAAATTATATAAGTTTTCTATTTTAGTTTCTAACTGTTTAATTTCATCATTTTCTATCTTGTTTATTTTACTATTTTCTTTTTTTTTTCTTTAAAGATTGCAATATTCGTTCCAAGTCATTTATTTCATTTTTTTTCCTTTTTGCCCTAATTTTACAATATAAGATTGTAGTTTCTCTTATGTCAATTTTAAATAAATCCCATAATTGGGATAGGTTTTCATTATGTTTACATTTTTCTAAATAGAAATTTATTAAATTATTTATCTTTTCTTTGAAGTTAGGTTCACTTAGTATACTATTATTTATTTCAAAATAACCTTTACCTTTATTTTTGGTTTCTAAATTTACTTTTAATGAAATAGCTTGATGATCTGTACTGGATATCATGGCTGGTCTGATATCTGTAGACTCTAAGTGTTCTAAGTTCTTCACTAAGTTCTTCACTAATCAAGAAGAAGTCTATCCTACTTGCCTCAAGATCATTGTTTTTTCTTTTCCATGTATATTGTTTTAAAGTCGGATGTAATATTCTCCATATATCTAATAACTTTTTTGTTTTAATTAATGTTTTCAAACTATTTGATTTTTTGGGCTTTTTGCCTGTTATATTTTTATTTTTTCTGTCTTCATTATTCATTATTTCGTTTAAATCTCCTATTATTAAAATACCAAGCCTATGTTCTTCAATTATTGTATTTACTTTTTTAAAGAAAGTATTCCTTTTTTTCTTATCATTTGGTGCATACAAATTTATCAAAGCAAATATGTTATTGTTTATTTCTACATTTACCAAAATTATACGACCGTCTTGATCAGAATACGTGTCTATTATTCTAGGATTTAATATTTTATTAATAAAGATAGCGACTCCTCTAGATTGAGATGTCCCAAAGCTATGGTATACATCTCCATGAAATTCTTGTCTTATCTTATTTTCTATTTCTGGGACAAAATGGGTTTCTTGTGCGAATAAGATATCAGATTTTTGATACTTTAGCCAAGTGTAGAGCCTACTTCGTTTTTCTTTTTGACCAAGTCCTTGGCTATTTAAAGAGCAAATATGTAAAATATCTTTCATAAATTAGAGGATATTTAGCTTAAAGCAGTGAATATATCTATTTATCAAAATTAAACTGTTATGCATTTTATTGATTAGAATCTGTATATGCCGATTATTAAAATGGAGATATATGTATGGAGTTATGAGCTTACATTTATATAACACAAAATAAACAAGTATGTACATGTATATAAAGTAATGTACTCTAATAAACAAAAGTAATGATACATATATTAACAGATACACAATCATACAATAAACAATACAAACACTATATACAATTGACAATGTACGCAATACTGTGACATGTACATGAAACATTGAAAATAAGATGATGACTCTTTGAATAGTAAACCATAAAAAAATCTCTGAAAGTATTGGGACTGCCTTTACAATAATATCAACTATTTCATTGTATTTGAAGGATTCTCATATATGTGCTATCTACTTTTGTATTGATCTTGTCTGAAAATAGTATTATATGCCAGATTTGTTTTTGTATGACTTTAGTGACCTTATGGGACTTTACCTTTTTTTTTATTATATTATGTTGTTTTAAGTTACTTGTTAGTACATACTGTTTAAATAGTATACTTTTTAGTGGTTTAATAGAAAAAATTATCTCATTTAATTGTTTTCTATTATGCGTTACATTACTATGACTAATTAGTAAACATATTTTAATTTTTTTTCCAGACAATTGATCATCATTGGAAATATTTGTGATGTCATTTAACAAGACCGAAGCAATACTTTCCTGCTGTTTGTTTACATTCTTGCAACAACAATAACATTGTGATAAAGCGACTATCCGTACCTTGGACAATATAGATTTACTTCTTACATGCATTACTGAAAGATGATACGTTACTAGATTATTATGGTGCACCTTAAGTAGATTAATATTCGAATCATATGGAACAAGTATATGTGACCACTGTTTGGAGTCTCGTTCTTAACGTAGAAACGTAGAAGTAACAATCATAAATTGTAGTAAATAGATATAAGAAGATGTGGTATGAGTGCCAATGAGACAGCTCTCCATCCAAGTTAAAATTTATAAAAGTAAACCATTATAGGTCACAGTACGGTCTTCAACACGGAGCCTTGGCTCACATCGAACAGTAAGCTATAAAGGGCCCCAAAAAATTACTAGTGTAAAACTATTCAAACGGGAAAACCAACGGTCTAATCTATATAAAAACGAGAAACGAGAAACACTTATGAACCACATCAACAAACGACAACTACTGAACATCAGATTCCTGACTTAGGACAGGTGCAAACAAATGCAGCGGGTTTAAACGTTTTAATGGTACCAAACCTTCACCCTTTTTCTGAACAATAGTGTAACATCACAACATAGAAAGACACACTATAAAGTCTGGTTTAATTAGACTGGGGATATATTGAACTAACGACCTTCCACACTTCATTTAGATTTTTACAATTCGACAGAGGTCACAAAAATCTATCGTTAAAGTAAGCAAAAACATATGAATAACAGAAAAAAATTTCGGGGCCTTTTATAACTGACTATGCGGCACGGGCTTTGCTCATTGTTGTAATCCGTTCTGTGACCTATAGCTGTTAATTTCTGTGTCATTTGGTCTCTTGTGGATAGTGTATCATTGGCATTCATACCACATCTTCTTTTTTAGAGCATACATGTTTAGATTTTAACGAGAGAAATTTATGTATTACTGAAAAATTATTACACCAGGGTTTTCGATATCACAAACTAGTCAAAACATTTACTAAATTTTATCATCGGTATAAGGTCATCATTCGTAAATATAGCTCAACATGCAGACTTCTTATACGTTCAGGTATTTCACATCCAATTTTTTATGGAAATATTCTTTATAAAGCACAAAAATGTCAGTATTCACCTCTGAAGCTAACAAAACCTTTAAATAGACTTATTAAGAAGGGATATAGTTACGATACTGTTGTCAGGTCATTAAAGATTGCATATTTTGGCGTTAATATTGATTCACTTATAGGGTCTTTGCATCGGCACTAAACACATTTATTTAAAAACCAGTTGTTGGCATGACACGGGTTATGTTCTTCTCATATCTGTTATGATGGTATGATACTAAACCCCCAACGGGAAGGATTGTGCCTGATATTCATATGATGAAGACATAATCTTTCAATCAGTTTAATTGAAGTCTGGAGCTGGCATGTTAGTTAACTGCTAGTAGTCTGTTGTTATTTATGTATTATTGTCATTTTGTTTATTTTCTTTGGTTACATCTTCTGACATCAGACTCGGACTTCTCTTGAACTGAATTTTAATGTGCGTATTGTTATGCGTTTACTTTTCTACATTGGCTGGGGTGTGGGGGGAGGGTTGAGATCTCATAAACATGTTTAACCCCGCCGCATTTTTGCGCCTGTCCCAAGTCAGGAGCCTACAGCCTTTGTCAGTCTTGTATTATTTTAAATTTTAGTTTCTTGTGTACAATTTGGAGTTTAGTATGGCGTTCATTGTCACTGAACTAGTATATATATATTTGTTTAGGGGCCAGCTGAAGGACGCCTCTGGGTGCGAGAATTTCTCGCTGCATTGAAGACCTGTTGGTGACCTTCTGCTGTTGTCTGTTCTATGGTCGGGTTATTGTCTCTTTGACACATTCCCCATTTCCATTCTCAATTTTATTAGGCCCAGGTACACAAATATCGCCTTGTAGTCCCAATAGTAGACAGTGTATTATTATTACTGGCACATTTTTATATCCATACACCGTCCTTATTTATTTCAACATGTTTGGCCGCAAAAAGCTAGAGAGGGGATAAAAATTACACATTAAATAAATTTGGAAAAGTAAATAAGTTATTTTTTCCAGTAGAAAAAGTAGACAATTAGTATTTCTGGAGCTATCAAACAAAATCCAAGACGCCTTTAACACAAAATGGTCCTTGTCCTGAGTTAAGGCTGATAAAGTTTTCTATATTTTTGATATATATGCCCCAAAAGCAGTACAACACAAGGACGGATCCAGGATTTTTTAATAGGACGTAATTCCATAAAAGTGAAAAATTATTTTATGCAAAAAGTACTCATATAGCAAAAAGGTACACAAAAAAATTCTAAAAAGTGTGCATAATCATTGGTAGCAGACTTGTGACCTTTAAAACACGTGTACTTTTCCTCATACCCTGTAAGCTGTAAGCTATTCCCGCCTTCAAGTGCTGACCCTCCTCGTTTTAATTAAATTTTGCTGATTTAATTCATTTATTTTAATCATTTTCCATAGATAGTTTAAATGTCGTAACTTGCCAAAACAGTTCGAGTCCCGTGAATATGATATTAAATAACTTAACATACCTTACCTTAAATTTCACTCTCAAATACACAAGATGACATAATTTTTGCATTTTTCCTTACGTTCAAATGTTGTCTTCCTTTCTATAAACAAAGGTAGATATAATAAAAATTGTTGACCTTTTGTGTCTATAGTGTCGTAAATGGTTAAATTTTTGTTCATTATAGCATACTGTTCCGGCTAACAAATGATTTTACACTTGCTTGAGAAGAAAAATTCAAATATTTATACTCCTTTTCCCGTTTTAATTGACAAATTATGGGCAGAATTGACAATTTTATGAATGTTTACATTGATATAATTTTTTCGGATAAAATCGTGTTTCAAAAATATTTTAACGAACTTTAACAACGTGTCCTTTAAAGTTTAAAAAGAATTATTGTACCTTTTGTCATGGACGGTCTCAGATATAACGGTATTGTAACGCAATTCACGTGTATTAATCATCGTCTTAGCCTAAGGATATCATTAATTACAGATTCAACACGCCATCCCCGTATATTGTTAATTTTAGTGGTACACGAATTATCAATAAGCTTCGCCTTTACCTGTTGTTGACACTTGTTAGAAAATGCATCGTTAAGTTCGATTTGGTTCGAAATTAATTTAAGCAATGTAGAATTTTTTTTTTTCAATAGTGCCAAATGCCAAAAAAAAAAAAAAGGAAAAAAATCACATTAACTTTGTTTATAAACCATCTGAAATTCAAACTAAATTAGTATTATCCCAGCTCAAATCCAGTGGCGGATCCAGAAATTTTCATAAGAGGGGGCCCACTGACTGCTTAAGAGGGGGCCCGCTCCAGTCATGCTTCAGTGATTTCCTATATAATCAACCAAATTTTTTCCACAAAAGGGGGGCCCGGGCCCCCTGAAAAACCCTCTAAATCCGCCTCTGAAATCGGTCAACGTTACTCATAAGGGATGTATTTCTATGCAGTATATGTATACACAAACATACACCAACCCACACACATCTCTCTTAGTTTATATACAACATTTCTTAAAACTTGACTGAAATACTGACCAATTACTTATAGTTTGCCTAACGCTAACGGATATTTTAAGACATCAAACTGATTTATAAATTTTATGTATTAAAATTGAATTGCATGCAATTTAAAAATTAAATATGTTATTTTCATCAGTTTCGAGGATGACCTTAAAAATTATTTTTCGACAGAATGTTATATATATCTTGTCGTTTTTTCTTTGATATTGCCGAAAATCAATGAACCGTTAGACACGTGTCAAATATTCGTCCTAAACATGCATGTAATATTTGATACTGGACGTTAAGCAACCAACAGTCAATCAACATATTCATTATATTTCATCAAATCTTTATTCTGTTATTTCTATTTTTTGTCTCATTATTCTCTTCTGTAAACCCCATTCATACCCTCATAAATGGTGACCCATTCATAGCCTCATACATGTACATCGGGTAATTTAAACAGGAAAGATACACCGACACATATTATTGTACGCTTGGTCTAACTTTTTAAGCCAAAGATAATGTTATAAAGTATTCCAATCAACACGTACATGTAGTTTGCATCAAGACATTACACACAGGTGTCAATATTTACACACCCACCGATAGTTGTCATAAATCACGCATGTTGAAACAGGGGTTAACTAACGGCTAGTTTAGAAGTCAAATCAAGCTGTGATTATAATTTTCGCTCTAGATAAGCAGATTCAGTAGCAATAAAATTATGTAAGAATTTTTTTTTTGACCCGGACTAGGTGGGGGCTGCCCCCCTGTGCACCCGGTTAATTCACCATTGCTTAGAGCATATTATAAGTCCTCAGTGCACTAAGAAGTCCTTGTTAGTGTTTAGACGGCATATTATAAGTCCTTAGTGCACTAAAGAGTCCTCAGCAGTGTTTAATATGCCACTAAGGACTAAAAGGGGTGCTATTACATGTAAACTAATTTCATACAGTGGCGTATTGAAAATTCTTAGTGCACTAAGGAGTCATTAGCAGTGTTAGACGTACCGTTATAGATATGGTAAATTCAGTAGAATGTATTTTTGGACTGGGGTGTTAAAGATATTTTAATCTGACAACACGAATTAATCTGGTAACATCGTCATTAAAATCGTGTCATTCACACAATACTAAACTTTGCTTTATATTTTCTTATAGTGCACTAAGAAGTCCTTATTAGTGTTTAGACGGCATATTATAAGTCCTTAGTGCACTAAAGAGTCCTTAGCAGTGTTTTATATGCCACTTAGGACTAAAAGGGGTGCTATTACATGTAAACTAATTTCATACAGTGGCGTATTGTAAATCCTTAGTGCACTAAGGAGTCATTAGCAGTGTTTAGACGTACCGTTATAGATATGGTAAATTCAGTAGAATGTATTTTTGGACTGGGGTGTTAAAGATATTTTAATCTGACAACACGAATTAATCTGGCAACATCGTCATTAAAATCGTGTCATTCACACAATACTTAACTTTGCTTTATATTTTCTTATTTTCACATGATTAATACACAAATAAGAAGATGTTGTATGATTAACAAATTCGAATATTCATAGTATATAACCTCGCTATTTTCATGATCACAAAACTGTTCAATGTGTGTGATTGATCTTCAGTTATGACATTTTTTTTAATTTGAGTTATTGACTAACCCGAATAATTCAGTCCCTCCCCGTGATCTACTCTCCCACTCATGTAGCCATCGTAGAGCAGCGGAATATAACGACTGAATTATTCGGGTTAGTTATTGACAAGCAATCATAGTTTTACACGATCCTTCGTTCGCCAGTCCGTAAAAAAGTCTTTCCTTCTCGCACTTATCGGTCTTTTTTCCGCAATTATTTTTAAAAGAATTTCAAAACAATTGATGGACTTTTTCAAAAAGATGTTTGTCTCATCTGTAAGCTAGAGTAATATTGTGTTGTACATATACATGCATGTTGAAAAAAAATGTAGATATCTATAACAAATTTAGCAGTTCAAATATTGATTCATGGTATTCATATTATCAGAAGTCCATTACAGGTTATCAGAGGTGAATTTTGAAAATTATTTGTTGGGCTTGATACAAATTATTTAACGAATGTCCAAGTGGATAATCTACTGGGAAACGTTACGCAGTGCTGGTACTTCATTTATCTTTATAATTTTGATTTTTACATCGAAAATCGATTCAAATGTTCATATGAAAATAAGAAGATGTGGTATGGTTGCCTATGATACAACTCTCTACTATAGACCGAGTGACATAAAAGTATAGAAATCTAGATCACTTTATAGACTTCAACAACGAACAAAACCAATAATAGTAAAAGTCCCTGAAATGACAAATGTAATACAATTCAAACGGTAAAACTTACGTCCCGATTTATGTACAATACTATTATGTAAAACAAAACGAAAAACAAAAATGATATACAGTAACAAATTTGAACAACAACGTGACTGATTACAGCAGGGGCGGATACAGCAAACGGGTGTTCCTACTTATTTTCCCCTTGACCTGTTATAAGAAGTGCGCATATTTGCACTAATACAAGTACACCGCGGTTGATATGATTAAATTATACCTCATTTATATATATATATATATATATATCGGTGCGTGCCTGTGTAGGCGTGTGTGTGTGTATAAGGGTGTGTATGTATGTGTGTAATTATGTGTGTAAATATATGTATATAGATATATTTGATACTGATGAGGGTTGTATATGATGCTACTTCAGTTAAGTATTTTCGTTGAAAAAATGATGCATGTATGACAAGTTGTGTGATTGCTTATTTAGTTATCAAATATTACTGGTACTAGTATTCACTGTATTGGTACTGCATATATCATGTGTATCATAGCACAGAACGACCATGGCAAGGATTGAGTACTCAAAGTCAATTATTTCAGGCTACCTATTCATTTTTTATGATACTGTTTCAGACTATGACTAATATTATTGCTATTTAGCATAAGTAAATAAGTCTTTATTGTCATATAAGTATAGTACACTGAAAATCGACCATATATTTGTGACGAATACAACAGGCTTTTGTATGCTTGTATTTTGTTCTAATATATATATATAGTAGCAAAAGTCCATTACTAGTCTAGTAATGGACTTCTGATAGTAGTAATATTGTTCATCAATACTGGAAAGTAATTATGATTTGCGAAAAAGGCAGTTTCGTTATGTTGGAACAATCATAAAAGTGTTGTTTTTCTAAATTCTATATATTAACGTGGACATCGATTCGTAGAGAAACTCGGATTGAAAAAATTTCAATATTGTGTATCCAATTGAAACTTGAACGCGGACCTCAATGAGAACACCTGGATTGAAAGTTTTCAAACGTTTCGACCAATGAAATATATTTGATTATGTACCCACGCGGACTTCAAAGAGAGCACCTAGATGAAATATTTTATTTAAATCAAGTTGTTTAAAACAGCCAATCAATTTTTTTTCAGTTATTACAGCTAAAATATAGTTAATGAAATAAGATTACAGCAGCAATGCGGAAATGATTAATTTCTATTCTTGTTTTATAATGTTTATGCTAACTTTTGGTCTGTATAATCAGAGACATATATACACAGAGATTGTGTATATTTGTCTCTGGTATAATTGTATTAAATTCCACAAACTTGATTATTTAAAAGCCCCCATTGGGTGTAAGCAAGATATTGTATATTTAAATATACAATTTCTTGGTGTAAGCCAGGGCCGACCGTGCGAGGTCTTTATAGCCAGTCAAGGTCATTTAACCAAGCCATCATTATTGCAGACTGAAATTTATCATATATATTCACAGAATATGCCAAAAACTCTATTACGTGCAGGCAGCAATCACTTAACACATCGTAACCACGCTTCAATTTTTTTCGTTTGACATTTGCTTCTTTTCGACAACGAACGCACGTTTTGTACCAGTGACCAGTATTATAATTTTTCACAGTTTGAATAGTTCAATGAGCTGTTAATCTATAATTTACAATGTTTAGCAAGACTAAAATGTTTACCCAATGAATTCAACTAGTGACAACATTATCTATATCAATTTTATTATTTAAAACAAAATTGTTTTATATACAAACTAAAATTTACCGAAAATGTAAGATGCATCGATTTTTTCTATGTAAACAAAAAATAATTACTGTTCCTTAGACACATGTGTCTCTTTTTAAATAACGAGTACAAAAAAGGAAAACAGAAAAAGAGAAAAGGTAAATATACAGGAATACAGCAATTCGATGCATATAATAATGACAAATTTAAACAGAAATTTAAGTGATAATTTTTCATCACAAATTTGTTTAAATCTATTTATGTTCTATTGAATTGTTTTTAAAACATCTTTCACTTCTGGGCTCGCGCCTGTGAGTGCAATGAGGACCTTCTCATTCGCATTCTCTTTCCATTTAAAAAAAAAATCCCCAAGTATTTGTAAGAGACCAAACTTTACTTACACGTTAATTGTGAATATTTGTTGGAGGTATTTTCTAACTAAAATCGATAACGTTTGTAACGGATTAACGAAAGATAACGGGGATGCTGTTCTGCTTGAGTGATTTACCTTACAAAAAGGCGGTCACTTTAAAGATTAAAAGGATTTAACATCAATTTGATTTCGTTTAACGGGGGCGTGGCTAATTAGTTTGACACAGCTTAACCACATCTGAAACTAACTTGAATGACCGCAAGGGAATCTATTTGACTGGTATTAAAATAATTTGATATGGATTGAAATGCATTAAAAACAATTTTTAATTTTTGTCAATCGTTATCTAATGATAATCATACTTTTTTAAATGTCGTTAATAACTTTTTGGCCGTTCAAGCCAAATTCGGGTTACTAGTGAGGGTAACATGAACAGACAGACATACAGGGATTTGTTGCTTGAACACATTGTAGTCCCTTATTTTGACAATCACCCACTTGTGTCAAGACCTTTGTACATGGACGACAACGCCAGACCACACAGGGCAAGGATTGTAACCGAGTCCAAAGACCAAGAAGCCATTGGCACAATTTTTGTGGCCTCCCATGTCTCCAGACATGGACCCTATCGAACAATTCTGGGATGCCATGGGCAGAAATCTCAATCGCAGAGATCCACCACAGCAAAATCTTGGCAATTTAAGTGTGGTAATTGTTTATTAACGGAATAGATTTCCTCAACTAAAGTTTTGAAGGTTTGTACAGAGTATGAGACGCCGTTTTATGGAACTGTAACGGAAGAGAGGTGAACAAACATCATATTGAATCAAATATTGACATTAAATTTGCCGAAATATCAAAGGTTATTCGAAGAGAATTTTTGTAATTTGCACTATTTCTATAAACGAAAAATTTAAATGCATAGAACTTGCATAAGTGACCAAACTTAATTTTATGTTTTGGTTATGGTATGTGTTTGCAATATTGTTACATAAATGTTTTCTCTTTATCGAGGAATAACTGATTTTTTTTTTCAATAAAAAAAGTCGATGCAATAAAAATAGGTGGTGCTTAACTTTTGGCGGACTGTATATATTAACGTCGTGTTATATGTTTTTAATTCATATTCAGTTATATATAATCACACACTTACCTTGGTCTGTTTATTGACATGAGAAGAATGGTCAATAAGTAATCGGACAGAATGAATGTTACCATTCAATGCGGCTTCGTGTAGTGCGGTCGAACCATCCTTGATAAAATAAACCATAAAAACGGTATTATTTGAAGTAGTCGTGTTGAATAAATACAAAACAAGAAGTGTTGCCCACCCGCACTTTCATTTTCTATGTTCAGTTACCGTAAAAATTGGGAGTAAAAAAAAATTAGACATTGAAATGAGAAAGATTATATAATAGGGAACATATGTACTAAGTTTCAAGTTGATTAGACTTCAACTTCGTCAAAATTACATTGACTAAAAACTTTAACAAACATCTTAAACCTGAAATTCGCACTATCACTTTCTATATTTAGTGGACCGTAAAAGTGGGGTCAAAAATCTAATTTCAAATTGGCATTTATATTAGAAAGATTATATCATAGGTAACATGTGTATCAAGTTTCAAGTTGATTAGACTTCAACTTTATCATAAGCTTCCTAGACCAAAAAACTTTAATCAAGTTGAGTTATTCTAACAACGAAAATCAGCATGATTTTACAGGTGAATGTAAGTTACGGAGAAGGAAACCATTGTTAATATCTTATTAATGTTTAGAAAAAAATCCGTCGTCGGAAATAGACACGGTTACTTTTCCGGAAGAGGGAAGCGGAATATTTAAACAAAATTTTTCCATTTAAAAAGACATATGTGTGGGAGGGTCCATCGCACAAGGAATTACATTGGTGTGGCCTACGTGTTCGTTTTTTTTTAGTCGAAAATAAATCTGGAATCAGGCATATAACACTATTTGTAGAATTTTTAATTCTAGATTTCAGAAACATTTGATAAGTGTGTTATTTATTTCTCTATATGCAGTATCAGGCTATATCTTTGTAAGTGTGTGCACATTATATAAATGTAGCTGGCTATCAAGGCAAGTATTTATTGTTTAAGGAAAACGGATTTGTTTCTCCTCCACCATAAAGCAGGAATAAGAAAATATATATAACAAAGGTTTATACTATAGAAAGTAAAGATAGCATTGTAATTAAACATGTATAGATCTTAAATGTGCTTGTTCAAGATTGTTTGAATAAATTATCCCACTTAATTTTGGCATAAAAAATCTTTCAATTTTTTATGTGTTACTGTTCTCTGTTTTCTTATAGGATGTGACCAAACTATAATATGATATTAATTTGCCATCAATTGGATTGACAAGATGGTTTTATAAATTTGATCAATAGTTTAGCCTAAACTCATTTTTTTGTCATTTCAAACTAAATTTGAAATCTATAATTTCATTAAAGAAACTATTTGCATTATTGATTATAATTTAAATTTGAATTTATGGACATTAAAATTAAACAAAATGCATCTCTTTAATCGTGTGTCTTTCTATGTTGTGATGTTGCACTATTGTTTCAGATAAGGGTTAAGGTTTGGTACTCTTAAAACGTTTAAATCCACTGTAATTGTTTACACCTGTCCTACGTCAGGAATCTGATGTTCAGTACTTGTCGTTTGTTGATGTGGTTCATTAGTGTTTCTCGTTTCTCGTTTTTTTTATATAGATCAGACAGTTGGTTTTCCCGTTTGCATGGTTTTACACAAGTTTTTTTTTTTCTTTATAGCTTGCTGGTTTTTTTTTAGCCAAGGCTCCGTGTTAAGACCATACCTTGACCAATAATGGTTTACTTTTATAAATTGTGACTTGGATGGAGAGTTGTCTCATTGGCACTCATACCACATCTTCCGATATATATATAACTTTACGCTCATACTCATGGCTGTCATTATTATTAGAATATAATCAGTTAATTTTTGTAAAAACGTCAAAACATTCAAGATTTTGTATTATTTAAGCTGCACATCAATGAAGTTTACAATCAGTTTCATTATATATGAATGTATTTCATCCATCCACATGTATGTCATATGTGTAACGTCTTTTGTTAAATTATGGTTGATGTTTACAGTTACAAGCAAGAGGACCAACAAGCTGTTAGTTTTCATTACTAGTATTATCATATTTCAGATCAAATTAAAATATCCAAACTATGAGAAAGGGATCTTTATATTTACACTAAAGAGGGGAACACATCAACTATAAGAGGAAAACAACAAAACATCAGAAACACTGAAGTGAACAAAAACAAACGATATAGCAACACACACAGAAACGAACTATAAGATAACAACTGCCATTTTCCTGACTTTTAAGAAAAGAAAATGGTTGGTTGAACCTGGTTTTGTGGCTAGCCAAACCTCGCACTTTTATGGCAATGTTAAATTTAACACTAAAATGACACCATTCCATGACAAGAAATGAGGAATACATTATTCCTTCTTGTATATTACACTATGTTTTAGTAGGAATGTTTATCAACAATTAGACAGGTGACATTCTGTTTCTATGATATTATTAAAACTACAAATGTATTTCATTCAAAACTTGAATGCAATTGTTCTTTATTTTTAGCTCTGTACTTATACATCCCGTCATTGTGTTATTGTTCTATGGCAAATTTGTGTGTTTTGGTCTTTAATGTTTGCTTATATGCTTGGTCTATATGCCAATTTGCACTTCTTAGTTACATATTGTTTGTGTTTTTAGTTATTAAGATCATAACACAATGTTGACTACTGTATCCCTATTTTTTGACAGTTTTACCTATTATGTCTGTCTGTTTTGTTCATCCATCGTTGTTAATTCAATGGAATTTGATGCGACTGTCATACAAGTGAAATGTTTAGCTAGCTATAAAACCAGATTCAATCTACCATTGTCTAGATAAGAAAATGCCTGTACCAAGTCAGGAATCTGATAGTTGTTATCTATTCGTTTGGTGTGTTTGAGCTTTTGATTTGGCCATTTGATTAGGGACTTTTGAATTTTCCTTGGAGTTCAGTATTTTTTTGACTTTTCTTTTTATACCTATATATCAAAATGGTCCTCATTTCAGCATGGTATACAATTACAGATATAGCTATGCAAAAAACTTTCCAACTAAATATTATAACAGGGGTATAAAGCAGAGGGAAAGACTAACATTATCAATATACGGACAACTTGTGAAAATATGGAAGATTAGCATAAGCATTATGGATATTTGCAATTAATAATATCAAGGGGCCAAGTCAAAAACTATACAAGCCTTGGTTACTGGTCCCCTGTTTGTTAATCTTTTTCCCAATTAGGTCATGAAAATCAAGTCAAATCGTCTGACCTTGTATTCTTTTGAGTGATAAATTGACCAATTGGACAGTTTTTTAAACATTAAAATATGTATTTGCTCATGATAGTGTAACCATAGATGTATTATACATCCATGATGTAATTAAAGTACAGATCATATAGATATAGTTACTTCAAAATCAATGAGATATCTCTACGATGATCTAGAGGCATCATAAAATTATCACAATAAACTATGCAACATTTACTGAAAATTAGGCAACCTTTTATTTAGGATAAAATTACTGAATGTTTCTGAACCACAAAATCAACAATTTTCCTCTTAACTTAGTTGATTCATTAAATATGCCATCATTGATATATAGCACTAATCACTATCTTGATAGCAGCTATATAGGAACTGTGTAGGAGAACTACGCTAAGTGTGTTTCATCTTTTTTCCGATAGAATAGATACAAATAATTCCCTTTCGAACTTGAATTTTTTTACACGATTAACAAAGTTTACATTAGATTGTGATCATGCATTTTGACGTATAGCATTACTGAAGATACATCAATTTTAAAAATGCAAATAAGTGCAGTAAAGGCATAATTGGTCATTTCATATCAAATGTGATTTATAAAGACAACAGTGGTATACCGCTGTTCGAAAGTCAATAATCAATTGAGAGAAAACAAATCCGGGTTACAAACCTAAACTAAAATTTATCATTCACTTACCACATTCTGTAAATCGTTATCGATACGACCGGCGATAAGCAAACTTATGATGTTAATATGCCCTTTCGATGCAGCTTCATGTAGTGCAGTATTACCAAGCTGTATAAAGACACAAATAGCAATGTTAACATAAAATTTAATGATAAAGTACGCAACCAGCGTAGCATGTCCAACATAAAAATCAAATAACTATAATGATAAGTTAGTGCTTTTAATATATGACCTGTTATTTTATTGCGTTGGTATTTACATTGTGTCATAGATGCAATTTATTCGTTCAGTTTATGTGTTAATATGTCTTTTGATTAAATTAAACTATTTCAATTGATATTGTATAGTGTGTTTTTTTATGTTGTGATGTTACACTATTGTTTCAGATAAGATCGAAGGTTTGTACCTATTAAAACGTTTAAACCCACTGCATTTGTTTGCACCTGTCCTAAGTCAGGAATATGATGTTAAGTAGTTGTCGTTTGTTGATGTTGTTCATAAGTGTTTCTCTTTTTTATATAGATTATATCGTTGTTTGTCCCGTTTGAAGGGCTTCACACATGTCATTTTTGGGCACTTTTTAGCTTGCTGTTCGGTGTGAGCCAAGGCTCTGTGTTGAAGGCCGTACAAATTGTGAATTGGATAAAAGAGATCTCTCCGTGGCACTCAAATCACTTCTTCTAATACCTATTTTAGATTTTCAAATAACTATAATGATAAATAATTGCGTTAAGAGAAATAAAGACAACAGACAAAAACTAATAATATCAAAAACAATATGTAAATCATCAATAGAAAATAAAGATGGAAAAGTATCATCAGCACCAAATAAACAATAACAACGTATTACAATATATTGTTGTCCAGCAGTGAACTTATCATCCGTTGGAAAATGAGACCATACCACCTCCTCTGAACTTATAAATGGATAATTACAAATACAATTCGACTTGAAGGGCTACGTGTCATTTAAAAGACTTGAGGTTGAAAGATGTAGTCAGGTGAAATTAAAAAATCTGGAATTAAGAATTGATACAATAAATCAAAAGAGTGAAGTAACAATGTACGAAAACAATTTGAAAGCTGATGAAAATCCTATCCGAGACTTTCACTTTGTTACAGGCTCAATTCTGACTTATCGAATTAAACTTATCTTCGGGTTTGAGACACACATCGGCTACTGCATGAGGAACATGATATACTTACCTTTCCTCAGGTTTGTGTAATGGGATTTAGTTTGCTCAGTATTGATGTTTCAATGTGGTGTTTTGTGTTCTGTAAGGTATTTTTAGTCATGTTTCGTAAGTTGGTTTTTCAGTGTAAATTTGTTTGCACAAATCAATATATTGTCTAATAAGGATGTTCATTGAACTTGGTTTTTTTTTAGTATTTTGCTAGATATTCAGAATCCTACAGTTCTATCCATGAAGTGCAATTTAAAACCATTTCCAACTTACTCCTACTTCTCTTTTCATAATTTTATTAAATATTGTTTGAAAAGCCATATTTGAAAAATCCTATTTTTGTTTCATTTTTTATGAAAGAAAAAAGGTTGCCAATGTATAAAAAGTCTACAGAGAAATATGTCCTGCCATATTTTTCAATGGTTTATATCTCGAAAACAAACACGATTCCTTAACTTTTTTACGTTTGTTGAGTTTCCTTATCTATATTCTTTTAATTTATAACAGTCTTTAAAAAAAGATTGTTATTATAAAACAAATAAGCGAACATCTTAATTTTTTTTATAAAAAATCATAAACTATGGTATCATTGATATCTAAGACTAATCACTAACTTGCTAGTTCCTTTGAGTTCGTTCATTTTTTTGTAGTTTTATTTTTTGCTAGGAAACACGGTTTTCAAAAATACAGTTCAAATTTTTGCAGAGAAAGTTTTTAGGTCTATATTAGAACTGTGTAGTCAAACTACGTTAAGTATGTTTGATCTTCTTCTTTTCGTGACAATATTTACAATTTAAGGGGAAACCGCAATTGTTTATCTAATATCTAAATATTTTATTCATAAAAAAAAAAAAAAAAAAAAAATTCAGGCCACGCCAAATTAATACCTTGTTCGTCGGATTTCCCGCGTGCTGTGAAAAGTCGACGAATAAAGAACTTTTGTTAAACCCGGGTCTAGTACGAAACCGCGCGCGTCTGTTTCTAAATTTATATAACCAAAATGTTAATCAGTCGTGCGTTTTAAAGTAACGTCAAACATACACGGAAATTGACATCCAAAACGTTATAGATCTAACATTCACAGCATTTGTGTTTACTAATGTCAGTTACGATGGATAAATACAAAAGGATAAATTTCATTAACGTAAGACACAAGTGGAAAATGAGTAGTTACAGTGGTACGCAGGCTACTGCCTTACTATCAAACACAGCCGTTGAAAGTGATTTGGATAATTCGTTTACCGATATGTTTAAGGTTCATCATAAGAAAATGAAAATATGGCCGTGTTTACACCACAAAATATACTATGATTACAGACAAACTGATATATCTAGGAAAGTTTTAAGATATGGCAGGAACTTGATATAAATAAGTTATATGTAATCTACGTTTAAGAAAATTAAAAACTTACCTGTATTGTGATGTGCGTTTTTTTTTCCAATCTGCAGAAGATAGCAAAATAAAGAAACACACGAGTTTCATTTAATACGGTCAACTCAGTTACACAGTATAAATCATCTATTATTTGCAGATGTATATTGTCCATCTATTGTCAATTTAAATCAATACTATTCTCAACATATATTGTATGAGTGCTGATTCTCAAAAACATCTTTCCCAATTTAGTTTATTTTGCCACCTTCTGAATAAAAAAAAATTAATAGCAAAATTCATAAAAGTTTAAATTTTTCTGAAACATAAAAATGTATGTGAAGTTAGCAGCCTGTTCGTTATTCGATATTCGATATCCAACGGGCTGCTAGCAGTCGGTTTGATATTCCAAGTTAGTTAAAAATCATAAAAAAAAAGAAATACTTAACAATAATAGTATGATTTTCATAGTTGAGAGGACTAATAGATACGTAGGAAATCGTTTAATGACCCCTTCAAGCTGCTCGTTGTCTTCGAATATAAACCCTTTTGTAAGTTGCATATTTGTCTTTATGTACAATAGATTTGTATCAATAAAACGACTTCAAAGATGCAATTTTATATATGATATTTCTTCAAACAAAAAGAAAAAACAATAACTCTAGAAAAATTTAGAAATATAAATAGAATTAAAAACCAATTGTTCAGAGAACAATGGAAGGTCTTTCCACCAGTAAGGATCTATTTTGATATGAAATATTAAAATTTGGTTTTAAATGACAGTTCCAGAGTCAAATGACAGCTTATTGTACGCTGATTCCAAAAAAATATGGTTTCTATACAAAAAGATATAAATAAGGGAGATAATTTTTTACTTCCGGTTTGAAAAATGTCACTTCTGGTATTGTTTGATAGTTTAATTGACACTGGTTCCAAAAATATATGGTTCTATATACTTTTACATTAATTTAATACAAAAAATAGCTACTTCCGGTATACAAAAGATCACTTCCGGTTGGCTTTTTCAAGTTCAAATGTCTTGCAACCTAATGCAAACAGTCCCATGGCTTTATCATGAATACTTATGAGATAAAAGCAAAGGTCAAAATCTAGAACGTTAAATTTACCTATGACCTTGAGCTCAATTTCAAGGTCATAAACCAAGGACCTCAAATCAAAGACCCTAGGTCTTAATTATATATGATAAATGAGTTGTATCATCATACGTGTAATTTTAAATATGATAGGGGAGAAAACTCCGATTAAATGTCTCCGTACACTTTCAACTCAAATTTACCTGTTACGACATATCGCAACTAACAATTCTGAAAAATATTTTGTCGATATCTTATAAGATTTCCGAAAATTAGCGATAAGAAGCCAAAATCAAAATTTTGAGCCTGACCTTGACCTTTGACCTTGACCTCATTTTCATTTTTATGGACCAAGGACCTCAAATCAAAAGGCCCTAGGCCTCTATCACTTATGGTATTCCAGTTAAAAATACATTTCACTTATATTAAATACAAAAGGGGAAATAACTCTCATATGGAATCTCTATACGGCTTCGGTCAAAATAAAACAGAACATCATATGGATATAACGAGCAATTTGGAAAAATAAATTTGTCGGTTTCTTATACGGTTGCGAAGCCTTAGAAATAACAAGAAAAACAGTGATCGGGGAGATAACTCTTATATAGGAAAGTATTCGGTTAAACGGTGTCAGTTTCAAAAGCGTATAAACTGTTCGATATCATATTCCAAATATAAGCGACATCTTGCGAAACAAAAAAACAGCGAAGGAAGAAAAATAAGGCGGAAGAAAAAAAAAAAAATAATAATCAGAAGAAGAAAACCAAAAGGTCTTTCCGAGGAAAAGTGGAAAGACCTAAATATGTATGGAAAGCCCAAAAAAGAAATACGGATATCTACGGAGGGCTTAGATTGTCACTTTTCAGCTTAAAATCGTCAAAATTTCAGGACAAAGGGCACAGGTCAATGATGAGAGTCCCCTGATCTCTCAATTTATCTAATATTATGCAGACATATAGTTAATAGGTAGATACAAACGTGACTAAAAGGAATTTTGGTACAATTCCTGTCTTCTATATTTACGGAGGGTCCAAAGTGCTAGTTTGATATTCAAAATATATAGTGAAAACCTACCTGAGACCGCTTAAATGCGAGTGAGACCCCCCTCCCCCCCCCCCCCCCCCCCCCTGGTCTTTTAATGTCCATAAAGTTCTACTAAATCAAAGACTCTGTATACATGAAGGTTGTAACAGAAGCATTTTTCAGAATAATGTCATCTTTGATATCCTACGGAGGGCTAAGATTGTCACTTTTCAGCTAATAAATGTCAAAATTTCAGGCATAGCGCACAGGGCAATGGTGAGAGCCCGTTGATCTCTCTATCTATCTAATATTATGCAGACATTTATTTGATAGGTAGATACAAACGTGACTGACTTAAAGGAATTTGGGTAGACTTCCTGTCTTCCATATTTACGGAGGGCCCAAAGTGCCAGTTGGATATTCAAAATATATAGT